AAATATTTGTGACTGTCGAGCCCTGACAAGGTCACTGCAATCACCGTGTACGTTCCTCCATGGTTCTGTGTAATCGTCTTAACCTGAAACAATTTCCGACAATAACATGCGACCATAAGCCAACACTATTAGAGATAATGAGACATTTATTCAAATGTGATTGCATGACTCTCCAACCTAATCTGGGTTAAATTCAAACACACATTAAAAGGCCCTGCAGCGGCTTTGTCTGAACGAGATTGTGACTATGGCGACAGAGTGTGTTGGGTTAATTACGGCCGTCGTCCACTATTAGCGATGACGAGGCCACATTCCACCGGTCTGTTCCGATAACTTTCGGCCAGCGTTGTAATGAATTGCAATTCAGAGCGGAGAGGAAGCTGCATATCAAAAACAATTAGACTCGATCAGACTGACTCATAATCACTCTAATTATCCGTATTTGCATCCTGATTAAATACGTATCTGCTATGATACAATGCCACAGTGTATTTATTTGAGACAAACTGCAGGATGGCGAGATAAAGAGACAAATGAAGAAATATCGGGAGGATACAATAACCTCGCAACACCGGGGCAGTTTTTCAGAGCCTTTCCAGCCCTCGTTGACAATTACTGACAACTAAATCACAGCCTGATAACAGGAAATCATCTTACCAGATCATTCCGTGTAACACCTCATGATTTGAGACGGCCCGGTCACTTTGTGTCATTCAGTGACTGTCAAGCTCAGACCAAGCAGCTACGGAAATTGCTAGGGAAGAAATGGGCATGGAAAAACCGGGATATGCTGTTCAAAGAAGAGAAACCTGGTTCCATCAGAGAGAGGAGAGATAAATGGATTCTATGTAAAGATTGAGAGAGAAGGAGAGAAAGACAGCACAGGTGTGAGACAGACCGAGCGAGAGAAACAGGAAATGCCTCTCAACTCTGTGATTTAACGGTCCGGAGAGCCATGCCCGGCGGCAGACGGGGAAACAGTTGGCATGCCTCTCATTACAGTGTCATGCTAGTGTCCCTCTCTCTCTCTTTGCCACCTGTCCAGCATACCTAATGCCACCCTGGCATTTCAAATCACCACATCATCAAAGTGAGCGAAGGTGGGGCGTCACCCCAGACTGGCAGAGAAGAGATGGGAAGTTGTCTATTGCCATATGTTTTTGCCCTTCCAAACCACAGGTCATTACTGCCAATGTAATTTACATTTTCATTATTTAAGTTTAATTAACCAGTCTATGTGGTCCCTCTTATGGGCCAAGAGCTTGATCCTGACAGAAGCCGAGGGTCTTTAGAAGTGCTAAGCGTTTGTGAGATCACAGAAAAGCAGTCTGTAATCACATCGTCTCCACAGAATGCTCAACACAGTGTCTGACAAAACTGTTGGACAGCATCAAACCCCAACAGCTTGACATGGAGACAGTACCTTCTTCACAATGTGCCATTATAAGTAGCATTGGGAATCAAGAACTGCTACAGTTTTAAATAAATACTAGAACCAAATAATGTTATGTACAGCAAACAATTCCTGAACAGCTCTTTATAGTCAACAGTAACATACAAGCACGACTAATGAAGTCCATTTCCCAAGTTAATGACTCCTATGAGTGATTCTTTTTAAAGAATCAAAAACATCTAGGAAGTCTGATTCCTAAATCGAATGACTCTTATGAACAGTTGTTTTTAGTGAATTGAACAACATAGGTATTGGTCAGTGAAGTCTGACTCCTTTATGAGCTAATGATCATGAGCTAATGAATCTTACAAATGTCTCTTTTTAGTGAATCATACATATTCAGATCAATAAGTGAAGTCTGCTTCTCAAGCCAAAGACTCTTGAAGTTCTCAAGCATGACTAATGAAGTCAGTTTCCCAAGTTAATGACTCCTATGAGTGATTCTTTTTAGGGAATCAAAAGCATACAGGAAGTCTGGTTTCAGAGTGAATGACCCTTATGAGTGTGTTCTTTATAATGAATCATAATAATGCAAGAAGTCTGATTCCCAGGTGAATGGCTCTTATGAGTGGTTGCTTTTAGTGAATCAAAAAGAAATATTCAGCACAACCAGTGAAGTCTGATTATCAAGCTGATGACTCTTTCGAGATGGTTCTTTTTAGTCTGATTCCTTAGCAAATTACTTATCAACAGTTTGTTTTATTAAATCAGAAACTAACAGTGTGGCTTATGAACCGGTTCTTTTAAGTGCATGAAAAACAAAGATTGACAAGTGATGTCCAATTGTTGAACAAAAGACTCTTATGAATAGTTCATTTGAGTGAATCAAAAACAGTGTGGTTCTAGTCATGCTGTGATTTTGAGTCACTAAAAGAAAACTGGACTTCACTGGTAAAATTGATTCAAAAGCAACCAGTGTAGTCTGATTACCATACAAACTATTGTTTTTATTCCCATCCCTAAATATAATACATGGAAAAATGCAGATTCTGTCAAGATAGGACAAGATTCGGATAGTCAACAGCAGGAGAGCTGTAATGTAACACTAGCACAACCTTTTAATAGCCTTCCCACAATCAATATGCACATTACAACTCCTGTATAATTCAATACGCATATAATTCAATACGTTCCTTGAGCTAAAAAGCCTCCTTGGTTATATTAAGAATGATATGAAACCATATCACACATTTCAGTTCTTAAATTTCAACCCTCTGTGGACATAAACATCCAAGCGTCCATGTAATCAGAAACTTTTTTGTTTGAACTTTCTGCTATTCCCTCCCCTCCACTATTCCCTAGTATCAAGGCCTTATGGGAAATGTAGTCCATGCTTGTCATACTGAAGAGTCTGTCTTCTCAGGTGTACGTTTTTTATTTGTATTTTCTTTCCATTCTCTACAATATTCTGCAAGGCGACAGTGTCCTAAATGCAATTACTGTACACAGCAGAGCGGAACGGAGAGTGTCCGCGGGGATCGCCGGTAAACAGGATGCAGTCAGGGGGTGCAGGAGTTCTGCTCTACCTAATTTAATTGGTACGGCTACTCAGCTAGCCCCAGTTGACCGCTACATGGAATCATTGTTAAGAATACGTTTAAAATCACCCCAGGCTATACTGATGCACCTTTTTTCCTCAAGATCCCTTTGTGTTGACGTTTTTTTTTTATTACTTTCTCTTTGTCCCAGGGAGGATCTGTCATCGTCATGATGAGTTTATAAGGACGATATTAAGAGCGTAAACAGTGATGGTACCGCTGAGATGAAAAATAAAGACGAAACATGGTTTGAGGGGAAGAGAGAAAGTGTGACAGAGAAAGAGAGGACGGTAACCAAAGTCTGTTTATTAGTCGTATGATGCACAAGAAAAAATATTGCACCTAATTAAGTATGTGCAAGGTTTCTTTACTTTTTAGCTTCAAAATACATTAAGTTTTTAAGTGTTAATCACTCAAAATGATTAAGGATAAACTGAAGCGGTGAAGAATATGCATATTGCTTATGCCCTTGTTTATGATGTTTAATTATGTATACTCAATGCATGGGAACTTACAGGGACATATGACAGCTGTTTTTAAGAATGATTATAGGTTTACGTTTATTTGAGTATTGCAGATGTTGCTTTGTTACAAACTTGTTCCCTGTTGAAGTGTAGCCATTTCTCGCCCAACTTACAAAAAACCATCTTACAAAAAAATGCCGTTTTTGGGAAGAACTGACTGTTTGCAATTGCTGTTTCAGAGTCCAGTCAAGATGTTATTTCTAAACGAAACATTTATTAGTAACTTTTAGACAAACAAACAGAAAAACAAATAAATAAATAAAAGTAGTTTGAGGTCAGTGTATATGTATGTATATATATATATATATTTTTTTTAATTAATTAATTTATTTTTTTTATAGAATTTATTTATATATAATTTTTTTTAGATTTATGTTTCAAATAAATGCTGGGTAATGGCCACTGAAAATGCTTTACCATCACAAGGAATAAATTAAATTTTAAAATAAAACAAAACAGAAAATAGATATTTAAAATTGTAATAACAGTTCATAATGTTACTGTTTTTATTGTATTTTTTAATCAAATAAATGCCTTGTTGAGAATAAGAGATTTATATTATAAATATTAAAAAACAAAAACAAAAATCTCCAAACTTTTGAACAGTTATAAATAGCATATATCAATAATTATAACTGGTTTACGATTTAGTTTTTTTTTTACACATATTTACACACGCACACAAAAATAACTTGTACACAATTAACATAATTAAAATAACAACTACACAATTTCTGAGACCTTACTTATAACAGCTCTGAAGAAACCATGCATATTGTGAATCAATTCTAGATGTCTTCTAAAGACAGCAGCTGATTGCTTGTCATCCAAAACGAATATACTAAAAATGTAGATAGCAGTTAGTTGGAAGTGAAAGATACAGTCAAAAACCAAAACAAAAACAGAAAAACTGCTAAAACTGTTTAACAGTGCCAAATATGTCCTCTGAGACAATCCCATCGGCACCATCTCACTTCCTTCCCCAGAGCCTCATCCACCAAGTCATGCTCTTCAATTACTACATGCTTCTGTTCATCACACGACTCATTCATCTAAATATTACTTTTGCTCTCAAAATAGGAAAACTATTTTTTTTTTAAAACAACACAAGCTCATATGTACATTAATCTCCCTGACAATGGGATCCAGACCCTGGAAACAATCGTCCCGTATTCTGAGCGGGCTCATTAGCTGATTCTCTGATACTTCTACAGAATGCCGGATGATCTTCACGTCTCATCTCGAGGCTGTGTCGGCCGTCACAGCAGAAGCCCACACTCATCACTAGAACATTCCAATTACCATAACAACAAACCCATCTCTCACATCGCCAACTTCCTCTAATTTGAGGCATTGTCAGATTAGCGCTTGACTTCTTGCCTTCCCTAAATGGCATTACAGCATTTGTAAAACCACAAAACAGCCTCAGCAGATGACGTCTGATGACGTTCAGCGGAATAAAGGAGGATTTGAAACCGTGCTTACCTGAAACGGCGAGAATATCTGATCAGCCGAGCAGCACACGAGGAGAGAGAGAGAGAAAGAGATGGTGATTAAACCCAGGTAATCAATCAATGTTAAATCATTATGACCATTAGATTTAATCACCGTTAAATCCAATTAACTAGCCATTAAAGGGACTTCTTCAGGTGGTCAGCATTCCTGCGATGAAAACTGTCACGCAACTGCAGTGACATTACAAAAGTACATCAATTATTCCTTGACAAGAACTACTTCATTCAACGTAGAGGAAACACGTTAAAAGGAAGGCTGCTACTAATTATTCATGGTGGAATGAATACTTAATTTATTGAAATTTAACATTAGTTCTCTGGAGCAGCCTTGTTTATTTATTCATAAAAAGCTTAAAGGGATAGTTCACCCAAAAATTAATATTACTCCATGATATACTCACCCTCAAGCCATCCTAGGTGTATATTACTTTCTTCTTTCAGACAAATACAATCAGAGTTCTAATAAAAATATCCGGGCTCTTCCAAGCTTTATAATGGCAGTGAATAGTGGTTAAGATTTTAAAGCCCAAAAAAGTGCATCTATCCATTATAAAAATAATCCAACTGGCACCAAAAGGTTAATAAAGGCCTTCTGAAGGGAAGTTATGTGTTTGTATAAGAAAAAAATATATATATTTAAAACTTAATAAACCATAATCATTATAATATAATAAACAGCAAAGGAAAACTAGTCTCCTCTTGGCTTATATTGAAATTATCTGACATTTTTCTTACACAAATGCACCGCTTCGCTTCAGAAGGCCTTTATTAACCCCCTGGAGTCATGTGGAGCACTTTTTATGATGGATGGATTTACTTTTTTGGGCTTCAAAATCTCGACCCCCATTGACTGCCATTATAAAGCTTGGAAGAGCCAGGCCATTTTTTAATATAACTCTGATTGTATTCGTCTGAAAGAAGAAAGTCATATACACCTATGATGGCTTGAGGGTAAGTACATCATGAGGTAATTTTCATTTTTGGGTGAACTATCCCTTTAATGTCATTCTGCATATATGGATATATTTCTTTCCTGTTTACAAAATCAAGCTAATCATATTTGCTGCAAAAGAACGGCTCTCCAAGTTTAGATGTTGAGAGGAATAAGTATGGAAATATGAATGGTTGACCGCTTGTGATTATGCAGATTGCAAATTGAATTTAATGTGCTCATTAATAGAGGTGAAGTCAATGTGCGTCTGTTTGGGTTAGGGGTAGTTTATGGTAATTATAATTAGCTGTATTTACATTTTGAAACCAGTGATACAGACTCATCAGAGGCAGAAAAGGTGAGTCAGGATGATGTTCCCTTTCATGGGAACGTCGAACTGCGTCCTCTAGGGGTCGCTATGGGGAACGCCTCGTCGTGACCCGTGTCTGAAGCACACATTAAAAAAACACCAACTTGTTGGCCGGCGACAGCCATGACGTCACTACCGGTGCGACTGTGTAGCTCCCGGCGCTTATTTATACTATAGTCGCACCGGTAGTGACGTCATGGCTGTCGCCGGAAGTGAAAGAAGAGTTTTTTCAATGTATGCTTCAGACACGGGTCACGACGAGGCGTTCCCCATAGCGACTCCTAGAGGACGCAGTGTCTCGTTCCCTACTCAGGGAACCATGGTTACATAAGTAACCTGAGACGTTTCCACTCGACACCTTATAAGTTTTTCATAAGACAAATAAGATAGGCAGAACTTTAGAAAGATGGATAGAACAAACAATAAAATGATGGGTTAAACTGAAACAACCACCAGGCTGTAAGATTTATTGCTTATACACACAAATCTGACAACACATACGGTCAGTTTGTGAGAGAAAGAGGAAACCGTAACCAAAAAAGCACTGACAAAAGACTAAGAATGGCCTTTGGAGGGCAGGTGGATTGGAAAAACCAGGACATCGGCCATCGGGGGAACGTGAGGGTGTCAGTAATCAGGTGGATAAGGGTGAAGAGAGCCGGACTGCTTGCCACAAAGTATCTCTGTCAAGGTTCTGTGTGACACCTGGTCTACCAAAACATGAGCCCAAAACACAGGGCCGTGTGCCCTGACACTGCAATTACCACAGCCATGATTAAAGAACAGAGCAAAAACTCACTGATGAGTGCACTGTGATGCATAATAAACATCTATTTCGCTCGTTTTGAGGTTTAAAGCACCATAAGGTTATTCAGACAATCTGGCTTTATTTTGCATCTGGCACCGAAGCCCTCTGAGGTCCTATTCATCTCTTTATTCCAACCCAGAATCCTTTGCTGCCTTGCTGCTAAGTGGTGAGAAAAGTGCATACACTAGACTCATTTCTGTAAGACTGACAATCTAAAGCAATCTACACACCCCTCTTATTAGAATGAGTGACATTAGTTACGCTCACTTTACTGAAGTAACCACACTGTACCACAAACCCCGCTAAAAGGATGTTAGCACCCTTGCTACGCATTCATAACCAAATATCTGCATAGATATGAATGAATATGGATTCCAGGAGATTAGGCGGACTTCCACACACACTAACACAAACACATTCACACACTCTCACTTTCTCCAAACACTGGCACAGTGATTGTTCTCTGCACGTTCATGCTGATGGTGCACATTATGCCCACTAGGAATGAAGGAAATAAAAAAAAGTGAAACATAAAAAAATGTAATACAAGAAGCAATCTGTGCTGGCAAAATGTGAGATATATACACATGCAACATATTACACACACTACTATTCAAAAGTGTGAGGGTCAGTAAAATGTTGTTTTTGAAGTTTTTATGCTCACTAAAGCTGCATATGTTTAATCAAAAATACATTAAAAAAGTAATATTGTAAAATATTATTACAATTTAAAATAACTATATTTACTCCTGTGATGCAAGGCTGAATTTTCAGTAGCCTTTACTCCAGTCTTTAGTGTGGCATGATTCCTCAGAAATCACTCTAATATATATTTTCTTATTATCAATGTTCATAAATAAATAATGTAATAAAAATACATTTTACAATAATATGTAAAAAAAAAATAATTAAGAAAATAATGCATTATTTTTTTTAACAATTTATTCGAACAATTCGTCAATTATTCATTATTTAACAAATTCTGCAGAAGTATTGTTTGTATATATATTTTTAAATGATTTATAAGGTCAAAGTTCAGTTTGAACCTGCATACATGACAGGCTATGTTCAGCACAATAGCATTGGTGTCTTGTCTTGACGGATATTTCTTGACAGATATTTCTTCCATCACAAACCGTATAATCACACACGCTGAGAATAAAGGAAATGACCCGTCATTTCTGTGATTGTGCTGCCATTTTCAGACGTTAATTCCATTTCCTGTGAACTCTCAAAGCAGCTAATCACACACTGAGGAAATGGCTCACAATGCCCAACAGGTGGTCTTCAGAATTACACAGCTCACAAAGATCAAGCCTCCACAGCCAAGCGATTAAAAAATGAACACGTATTCCGTTCCTCAACTGGGGTCACAACCCCTTGCTTGGAAAGTGTCACAGTCAGCAGGGATACAACGATGCTAAATGCAAATAACAAAATGCAACTAACCATATAATCGAGGATTCAAAAGTGACCTGATCAACCTGTGATCTTCCCTTAACACAGTAGTGGGAAATCAAGCCACATCAATTGCCGTTCCTTTCAACTAGGGTTGTGCCGATAGACGATAGTATCGTGTATCGACGATAGTCAGAGATATCGACGATAGCACATGTCTTTGTCGATAGTCAAGACGGTATTAGGCTCATTCTCCTATAAATGTATTAAACTATTATTATTATTATTATTAGGCGCCCTATTATAATTCGGCTATTTCACTTCAGCACCGCATTTCACACTCGCGCAAATGAGGATTAGAGCCTGTAGCTGGTGAAGGAGTCTCCAACCACAAACACAGACGTACATCGTTTGCTGATATAAGGTATTTCATTGCATTTTAACAAGTAATCTGAACGGCCTATATATGTGCAATATTTTAACCGAGCCCTCACTAACTGAGTTTAACGCCACAGTTATGTTAGAACGCATCTCATCCTTGTTTCTGTGGCGGCGCGTTGGGCTCGTCATGGGGCGAACGGTCCTGAGCGCTGTATGACTGATGTATCCGTTCAATTTAACTTTACTCCAAATATATGAACTTACCTGTTTTAAATACGTTTATATTTAACGTGTTCGTTTATGTTCAATATTTAGTGTTCAACTGTTGGTCTTTAAAATAAATCTACTTTTGATTTTCACCGTTGACTGCAGACCTTTTAGACTGATAACGTCCGTGCTCTGATGCGGCACAGGACTTGCGGCCCTAATAGCGATGTATGACTGTTGTATCCGAATATATATGAAATAGCTGTTTTAAATATTTTTATATTTAACATGTCAGTTTATCAGTGTGTTTGAAAGAATATTATTTTGATTATTGGTGCTTTCATAGGCTCCCTCTCGCGTGCCCGCGCGGTTTAAAACACCACATAGTTATGAAATAGCCTATGATAAGTACAGAGTCTCTCTCTTGCCCCCACCCACCCATGCACGATAATATCGTGCATCGGCGATCTCACGGGCTGGCGATATGACGATTTGAAAAATGACCATATCGCCCAACACTACTTTCAACCACACAAATTGTCTCCAACATTTCCTTTCTCTTTCATCCCTGGCTCCCCATCACTCCTATTGGCAGAGCCATTATATTGGGTTGGCAGCGGCATCAGCGGATTTTGGCTGGCACCAGATTTTCATCAAGATCAGCAGTGATTTCGAGAGGGCGAGGCTAAACTGCCCGTTTCCCACCATGAGCTGGCACCACAGTCAATGCAAAAGGTCTCTTACAGGCAGAACCGCCGCCAAATGGGGTCCGCTGGAGTCCAGAACACTGAGCGAGACAGAGTGAGGCTCAGTCCCACAGAACACAGCACCTGCTGACCACTGCATGGAGGCGCAGCGGGGCATTGGGTGACCTTTGAGGGTGGAGATCCATCA